CCAAAGCAATCTACAGATTCAAGGCAATCCCTATCAAGCTACCAACGGCAGCTTTCAGAGAACTAGAGCAAATAATTTCACAATTTGTATGGAAATGCAAAACACCTCGAATAGCCAAAGGAATCTTGAGAAAGAAGAATGGAACTGGAGGAATCAACCTGCCTGACTTCAGACTATACCACAAAGCCACAGTCATCAAGACAGTATGGTACTGGCACAAAGACAGAAATATAGATCAATGGAACAGAACAGAAAGCCCAGAGATAAATCCACGAACCTATGGTCACCTTATCTTCGACAAAGGAGGCAAGGATATACAGTGGAAAAAAAGACAACCTCTTTAACAAGCGGTGCTGGGAAAACTGGTCAGCCACCTGGAAAAGAATGAAACGAGAACACCGTCTAACACCATACACAGAAATAAACTCAAAATGGATTAAAGATCTAAACGTTAAGACCAGAAACCATAAAACTCCTAGAGGAGAACACAGGCAAAACACTCTCCGACATAAATCACAGCAGGATCCCAGAGTATTAGAAACAAAAGCGAAAATTAACAAATGGGACCTAATGAAACTTAAAAGCTTTTGCACGACAAAGAAACTATAAGCGAGGTGAAAGGACAGCCCTCAGATTGGGAGAAAATAACAGCAAACGAAGCAACACACAAAGGATTAATCTCAAAAATATACAAGCAACTCCTCCAGCTCAACTCCAGAAAATAAATGACCCAATCAAAAAATGGGCCAAAGAGCTAACCAGACATTTCTCCAAGGAAGGCATACAGATGGCTAAAAGACACATGAAAAGATGCTCAACATCACTCATTATCCGAGAAATGCAAATCAAAACCACAATGAGGTACCATTACACGCCAGGCAGGATGGCTGCTATCCAAAAAGTCTACAAGCAATAAATGCTGGAGAGGGTGTGGAGAAAAGGGAACCCTCTTACCCTGTCGGTGGGAATGCAAACTAGTACAGCCGCTATGGAAAACAGTGTGGAGATTTCTTAAAAAACTGGAAACAGAACTGCCCTATGATCCAGCAATCCCACTTCTGGGCATACACGCCGAGGAAACCAGATCTGAAAGAGACACGTGCACCCCAATGTTCATCGCAGCACCGTTTATAATAGGCAGGACATGGAAGCAACCTAGATGCCCGTCAGCAGACAAATGGATAAGGCAGCTGTGGTACATATACACCATGGAATCTTACTCAGCCATTAAAAAGAATTCATTTGAATCAGTTCTAAAGAGATGGATGAAACTGGAGCCCGTTATACAGACTGAAGTAAGCCAGAAAGATAAAGACCATTACAGGATACTAACACATATACATGGAATTGAGCAAGATGGTAACCATAACCCTATATGCAAAACAGAAAAAGACACACAGATGTATAGAACAGACTTTTGGACTCTGTGGGAGAAGGCGCGGGTGGGATGTTTCAAGAGAACAGCACCGAAACACGTATATATAACCTAGGGTGAAAGAGATCACCAGCCCAGGTTGGATGCAGGAGACAAGTGCTCGGACCTGGTGCACTGGGAAGAACCAAAGGGATCGGGTCGAGACGGAGGTGGGAGGGGGGATCGGGATGGGGAATACATGTAAATCCATGGCTAATTCATGTCAATGTATGACAAAAAAATTTGTAAAGTCATTAGCCTCCAACTAATAAAAATAAATGAAAAAAAAAAAAAAACCAGGGATTCATTGAGCTGCATGGGAGATGAATTCTGTCATTAGAAACTTTGCCACCAGGCTTAAGAAATATATTTAGAACTCATTTCTTTCAGGAAACAGGTTTCAAGATCTCCATAAGAAGTCTTTTATTAAGATAAATCACAGCTTTGTCAGTTTCTCCAGAAGTACCCTCTTTTTAATTCCCAAGGAGAATGGCAATAATAAAACTAAATTAACCGAGTAGGTTATTTTCTCTCTAATGGCCCCTGTCTTGATTAAGAGGATTCCGGTCGACGTATTTCCTGGGCTTCCCTGGTGGCTCAGGTGGTAAAGAATCTGTCTGCAATGCAGGAGACCTGGGTTTCCTGCCTGGGTTGAGAAGATCGCCTGGAGAAGGGAATGGCCACCTCTTCCAGTATTCTTGCCTAGAGAATTCCACGGACAGAGGAACTGGGAAGGCCACAGTCCATGGAGTCTCAAAGAGTCGGACACAGCTGAGCAACTAATACACATATTTTCTTACCATTTGCTTAGCAGAAGCAATCATTCATAGCATTTTATAGCACTTTCTAAAGAACATTTTGTGCCTTTTTTCTCTTTTGTAAGCTGCACCAGGTCTTGGTTGCCACACATGGGATCTTTCATTGTGGCGTGCACACTCTTCCTTGCAGTGAATGGGATCTAGTTCACTGACCAGAGATTGAACCCAGGCCCCTGCATTGGGAGCAGCCACTGGATCGCCAGGGAAGCCCTCTAAAGAACTCTTAAAGTGAAACTTTTTGGATGTTCGCAGCAGCTCTGGGCAGTCCTAGTGATGATACTTGTTCTGCACTCTGGAGCCCGTGACCTCCCTGAGGGACACAGGGGCCAAGCGAGCAGATGCTACCCCAGCGCCAGACCACAGGGCCAGACTGGCAGTGTAAACTCCCTTCCAGTGATGTCCTCTTTTTACTGTTCCTCTGGTCAATTCAGTACTGTTTCCTTGGAGCTTGTGTTTAAAAGGAAATCCTAGATGTGTTCAAACATTACTGCCCACTTTCAGATGCATTGATATCTACCTAGGACTTCTCTATTAAACCCACCTGCCTGAGTACTGTGACTTGATTGGAGTTTTCTTGAAGTCACTCCTGAAGCACTGTGATGGCTTTGTCTAACATTAATAGATTTTTTAAAATGATATGTGTTGGGGAATGGCTATGAAAAAAGGGGAGAATCTGTTGCTACTGCAAACCAATTAAGGAGGCAACTTAAAAAGGAAATCTGAATTGTAACTATGTTTCTATTTCTGTAAAATACTGTCCTTACCTTGCAGTCTGTAGTTGATGTGCCCAGACACAGTAGTGGCTCTCGGGTTGCTCTTCTGCCATCTTCCTGTCTCCTTCAGTCCCTGCATGCGTATAGGAACTTCAGTGAGATAATGGGGCATTTAACACAGATTAATACTCTGTGCAATACTGTATTTAGTGTTTCTACTTTAAAGTTTCTAGGATGTTAATTTACATGCAAATAAAATACATGATAAGAGAGTTCTCTGCCTATTGTGTCTATATGACCTAAAAGTAAATGCAAAATATTTATCCCAGAGGGAAAATAAGTTAGAGCGTCTGTGTTCAAAGATTTTTGAAAGTTCTTATCTCAGGCCGAACCGTTGCTGGTGAACAGTGAAAGTCGCTCTGTCATGTCTGACTCTGCGAACGCATGGACTGTACAGTCCATGGAATTCTCCAGGCCAGAATACTAGAGTGGGTAGCCGTTTCCCTTCTCCAGGGGGTCTTTGCAACCCAGGGATCGAACCCAGGTCTCCTGCACTGCAGGTGGATTCCTCACCAGCTGAGCCACCAGGGAAGCCTGAACAGTTCTTGGCAGTTAAGGATTTAACAACTGCTAGAGTGTAAAGACAAAATAGTAATTCCGCTACATTAAAACACATTTTCTTAAGTGCAAATCTTCTCAATGCAGTTTTAGGGAAGAAGTATTTCCCCCTTATGGAAATATCAGTATGTTAATTCCTAAGAAGTCCTTTCTCGAAAAGTTGCAAAAATTCATATGATGTAGATTAAATGGTGATAAAAATTGAGTTGATCTCAGTGAGGCAGCAGTGAGTGGTGGCGTGAAGTGAGATCTAATTCGCTGCCCAGGAACTGAACCCGGGTAGCCTGAACGAAAACCAGGAATCCTAGCCACCAGACCAGCAAGGGCTAGAGGCTAGAAGCCAAGTTTCCCTGGATCTTTGACCAGTGAAAAATGCATTCATCATGGAGGCAGAATCGCTACATGCAGGTACAACGTTTATTATCAGAGACACAGCACAGCAACACGTGGGAAAGAACACGGAGGAACAGCTGGTCTAGTTACCACAGAAGCAAAGCAGAGACACACACCTGGAGAGAAAGGTTATGGGCGCCCCCTGGTGACAAGGAGCACAATAACCACGAGGTGGTGAAGTCCTTTATATAGGCCAGTTCTTCTGGGTCTTTGTCTTCCTTCCTGCCAAGTTTCTGGTTTCTTTCTTCACATCTGACCTATCCTGGGCCTCTGCCCTGGTGTGCACATACCCCTCAGCCAAGATGGATCTCCAAGTGGAGGCTTCTGGGAGAAGCAAGGCTCATCATGGTCTGGCACTTTTCGCGGGACTTTTCACCCACAAGGAGCCTCTCTGCGCGTGTGTAGTGTTTCCCTTCTCCCACAAGGGGGGTGGGGGGAGGGGAGATCTCTTCATCCTTGACTCAAGCAGGGTTTTGTCCCTCTTTGCCCTTGTCATGGCTACTAAAGTGTTCATGAGAGACAGACACTGGTTATTTACCCTCTTTCGGTTGTTACTTCCATTTCACAGGGCAAGCAGGACACTGACTGTAAAGGCTCAACTGGAGCCCAACCATCGCTTGCCTCAGGAAATGTAAACAGGCTAGATGTAAATGCCTAACCTGGAGTCCATCTGTCTCCTCCAGCAGCATTATGGGAAGACAAAAGGCGGAAAATTATGCCAATAAGGCACCACATGATGGTGCAAAAAGATGGATATAGACAAGGAAAGAAGGAATAAAAACTAAGCATTATGCTAATGGCAACCATTATGCAAGTTAATGGGGGGTGGGGGGGAACCTAATGGAAAACACTTGCTTTTATGCCATAAACCATCCTTGAATTCAGGTTGAATTGGATTTTTCCACGATAAACTTTTCATCACCTCTGCATTGGCTTGTCGTCTACTTTGTGCAAAAGCCTGGAGCTCCTAACTACTAGGGGGTCTCCCATCCAAGTACTAACTAACCCTGCTTAGTTTCCCCGATCAGAAGACATCTGGCCCGTTCAGGGTGGTATGATCTTAGATGGAGGCGGTTGCCGCCAGGCGCCTTTAAAAACCCTGCGCTGCGCCTGCTTTTCGCTCTGATGTGCCGTGTCGACAGCCGGCCGCACCTTTCCACGGGGCGCGCCGGCCAGGGCCGGCAGCCCGGCCGAAGCCTCCCAGTCCCCACACACCGGCAACCCTGGCCAGCAAACCTGGCCCGGCCCGGGGGCCCGGAGTGTTTCCGGGACCCCGAGCGGGCCGGTCGGGCGTGCATGCCTGGGCTTGGGGTTGGGGTGAGGGGTGCGGAGGTCTCGGCGCCCTCCCGCCCTGGGCCTCTCCAGGCCCGCCCACTGTCAGCGACCCCCCCCGCCACCCACTCCCGTTCGTGGCTCAGGGCCACGTGGCCCCGGAGGTGTCTGATTCGGGCCCGCCGCGGACCGCGGCCCTCGGTCCTCTGAGCCTCCCTCGGGCATAGGCGGAGCGCAGCCGGGGCCCTGAGCGCCCATCCTGCCCGGCACCTGCCCGGGGCCCAAACCCACTGGGAGCCACCAGCGCGGTCCACCCGAGCGCCTCAGCCCTGCCCCTTCGCCCCGACCGCGGCCCCCCTCCTCGCCACGCCACCCGCCAAGCACAGGACCTTCCTGAGGGTCCTTAAAATTCTTCTTCAAGAGTTCTAGGTAAATTTAAGACAGCATCTACTGGATTGTCTCCAAGGGCTAAAAAAACAAACAAACCAACAGTTACCTTGATCCATCTTGCCTTAATGTGAGCTGTAACAGTAACCTCAGAGCTGCTGCACTCAATGATTTGATTCATTCTGTTGTTGAAAAACAGGGATTCTCAATATTGTCAAAATGGCTATAGTACCCAAAGCAATCTACAGATTCAAGGCAATCCCTATCAAGCTACCAACGGCAGCTTTCAGAGAACTAGAGCAAATAATTTCACAATTTGTATGGAAATGCAAAACACCTCGAATAGCCAAAGGAATCTTGAGAAAGAAGAATGGAACTGGAGGAATCAACCTGCCTGACTTCAGACTATACCACAAAGCCACAGTCATCAAGACAGTATGGTACTGGCACAAAGACAGAAATATAGATCAATGGAACAGAACAGAAAGCCCAGAGATAAATCCACGAACCTATGGTCACCTTATCTTCGACAAAGGAGGCAAGGATATACAGTGGAAAAAAAGACAACCTCTTTAACAAGCGGTGCTGGGAAAACTGGTCAGCCACCTGGAAAAGAATGAAACGAGAACACCGTCTAACACCATACACAGAAATAAACTCAAAATGGATTAAAGATCTAAACGTTAAGACCAGAAACCATAAAACTCCTAGAGGAGAACACAGGCAAAACACTCTCCGACATAAATCACAGCAGGATCCCAGAGTATTAGAAACAAAAGCGAAAATTAACAAATGGGACCTAATGAAACTTAAAAGCTTTTGCACGACAAAGAAACTATAAGCGAGGTGAAAGGACAGCCCTCAGATTGGGAGAAAATAACAGCAAACGAAGCAACACACAAAGGATTAATCTCAAAAATATACAAGCAACTCCTCCAGCTCAACTCCAGAAAATAAATGACCCAATCAAAAAATGGGCCAAAGAGCTAACCAGACATTTCTCCAAGGAAGGCATACAGATGGCTAAAAGACACATGAAAAGATGCTCAACATCACTCATTATCCGAGAAATGCAAATCAAAACCACAATGAGGTACCATTACACGCCAGGCAGGATGGCTGCTATCCAAAAAGTCTACAAGCAATAAATGCTGGAGAGGGTGTGGAGAAAAGGGAACCCTCTTACCCTGTCGGTGGGAATGCAAACTAGTACAGCCGCTATGGAAAACAGTGTGGAGATTTCTTAAAAAACTGGAAACAGAACTGCCCTATGATCCAGCAATCCCACTTCTGGGCATACACGCCGAGGAAACCAGATCTGAAAGAGACACGTGCACCCCAATGTTCATCGCAGCACCGTTTTATAATAGGCAGGACATGGAAGCAACCTAGATGCCCGTCAGCAGACAAATGGATAAGGCAGCTGTGGTACATATACACCATGGAATCTTACTCAGCCATTAAAAAGAATTCATTTGAATCAGTTCTAAAGAGATGGATGAAACTGGAGCCCGTTATACAGACTGAAGTAAGCCAGAAAGATAAAGACCATTACAGGATACTAACACATATACATGGAATTGAGCAAGATGGTAACCATAACCCTATATGCAAAACAGAAAAAGACACACAGATGTATAGAACAGACTTTTGGACTCTGTGGGAGAAGGCGCGGGTGGGATGTTTCAAGAGAACAGCACCGAAACACGTATATATAACCTAGGGTGAAAGAGATCACCAGCCCAGGTTGGATGCAGGAGACAAGTGCTCGGACCTGGTGCACTGGGAAGAACCAAAGGGATCGGGTCGAGACGGAGGTGGGAGGGGGGATCGGGATGGGGAATACATGTAAATCCATGGCTAATTCATGTCAATGTATGACAAAAAAAATTTTAAAGTCATTAGCCTCCAACTAATAAAAATAAATGAAAAAAAAAAAAAAACCAGGGATTCATTGAGCTGCATGGGAGATGAATTCTGTCATTAGAAACTTTGCCACCAGGCTTAAGAAATATATTTAGAACTCATTTCTTTCAGGAAACAGGTTTCAAGATCTCCATAAGAAGTCTTTTATTAAGATAAATCACAGCTTTGTCAGTTTCTCCAGAAGTACCCTCTTTTTAATTCCCAAGGAGAATGGCAATAATAAAACTAAATTAACCGAGTAGGTTATTTTCTCTCTAATGGCCCCTGTCTTGATTAAGAGGATTCCGGTCGACGTATTTCCTGGGCTTCCCTGGTGGCTCAGGTGGTAAAGAATCTGTCTGCAATGCAGGAGACCTGGGTTTCCTGCCTGGGTTGAGAAGATCGCCTGGAGAAGGGAATGGCCACCTCTTCCAGTATTCTTGCCTAGAGAATTCCACGGACAGAGGAACTGGGAAGGCCACAGTCCATGGAGTCTCAAAGAGTCGGACACAGCTGAGCAACTAATACACATATTTTCTTACCATTTGCTTAGCAGAAGCAATCATTCATAGCATTTTATAGCACTTTCTAAAGAACATTTTGTGCCTTTTTTCTCTTTTGTAAGCTGCACCAGGTCTTGGTTGCCACACATGGGATCTTTCATTGTGGCGTGCACACTCTTCCTTGCAGTGAATGGGATCTAGTTCACTGACCAGAGATTGAACCCAGGCCCCTGCATTGGGAGCAGCCACTGGATCGCCAGGGAAGCCCTCTAAAGAACTCTTAAAGTGAAACTTTTTGGATGTTCGCAGCAGCTCTGGGCAGTCCTAGTGATGATACTTGTTCTGCACTCTGGAGCCCGTGACCTCCCTGAGGGACACAGGGGCCAAGCGAGCAGATGCTACCCCAGCGCCAGACCACAGGGCCAGACTGGCAGTGTAAACTCCCTTCCAGTGATGTCCTCTTTTTACTGTTCCTCTGGTCAATTCAGTACTGTTTCCTTGGAGCTTGTGTTTAAAAGGAAATCCTAGATGTGTTCAAACATTACTGCCCACTTTCAGATGCATTGATATCTACCTAGGACTTCTCTATTAAACCCACCTGCCTGAGTACTGTGACTTGATTGGAGTTTTCTTGAAGTCACTCCTGAAGCACTGTGATGGCTTTGTCTAACATTAATAGATTTTTTAAAATGATATGTGTTGGGGAATGGCTATGAAAAAAGGGGAGAATCTGTTGCTACTGCAAACCAATTAAGGAGGCAACTTAAAAAGGAAATCTGAATTGTAACTATGTTTCTATTTCTGTAAAATACTGTCCTTACCTTGCAGTCTGTAGTTGATGTGCCCAGACACAGTAGTGGCTCTCGGGTTGCTCTTCTGCCATCTTCCTGTCTCCTTCAGTCCCTGCATGCGTATAGGAACTTCAGTGAGATAATGGGGCATTTAACACAGATTAATACTCTGTGCAATACTGTATTTAGTGTTTCTACTTTAAAGTTTCTAGGATGTTAATTTACATGCAAATAAAATACATGATAAGAGAGTTCTCTGCCTATTGTGTCTATATGACCTAAAAGTAAATGCAAAATATTTATCCCAGAGGGAAAATAAGTTAGAGCGTCTGTGTTCAAAGATTTTTGAAAGTTCTTATCTCAGGCCGAACCGTTGCTGGTGAACAGTGAAAGTCGCTCTGTCATGTCTGACTCTGCGAACGCATGGACTGTACAGTCCATGGAATTCTCCAGGCCAGAATACTAGAGTGGGTAGCCGTTTCCCTTCTCCAGGGGGTCTTTGCAACCCAGGGATCGAACCCAGGTCTCCTGCACTGCAGGTGGATTCCTCACCAGCTGAGCCACCAGGGAAGCCTGAACAGTTCTTGGCAGTTAAGGATTTAACAACTGCTAGAGTGTAAAGACAAAATAGTAATTCCGCTACATTAAAACACATTTTCTTAAGTGCAAATCTTCTCAATGCAGTTTTAGGGAAGAAGTATTTCCCCCTTATGGAAATATCAGTATGTTAATTCCTAAGAAGTCCTTTCTCGAAAAGTTGCAAAAATTCATATGATGTAGATTAAATGGTGATAAAAATTGAGTTGATCTCAGTGAGGCAGCAGTGAGTGGTGGCGTGAAGTGAGATCTAATTCGCTGCCCAGGAACTGAACCCGGGTAGCCTGAACGAAAACCAGGAATCCTAGCCACCAGACCAGCAAGGGCTAGAGGCTAGAAGCCAAGTTTCCCTGGATCTTTGACCAGTGAAAAATGCATTCATCATGGAGGCAGAATCGCTACATGCAGGTACAACGTTTATTATCAGAGACACAGCACAGCAACACGTGGGAAAGAACACGGAGGAACAGCTGGTCTAGTTACCACAGAAGCAAAGCAGAGACACACACCTGGAGAGAAAGGTTATGGGCGCCCCCTGGTGACAAGGAGCACAATAACCACGAGGTGGTGAAGTCCTTTATATAGGCCAGTTCTTCTGGGTCTTTGTCTTCCTTCCTGCCAAGTTTCTGGTTTCTTTCTTCACATCTGACCTATCCTGGGCCTCTGCCCTGGTGTGCACATACCCCTCAGCCAAGATGGATCTCCAAGTGGAGGCTTCTGGGAGAAGCAAGGCTCATCATGGTCTGGCACTTTCGCGGGACTTTTCACCCACAAGGAGCCTCTCTGCGCGTGTGTAGTGTTTCCCTTCTCCCACAAGGGGGGTGGGGGGAGGGGAGATCTCTTCATCCTTGACTCAAGCAGGGTTTTGTCCCTCTTTGCCCTTGTCATGGCTACTAAAGTGTTCATGAGAGACAGACACTGGTTATTTACCCTCTTTCGGTTGTTACTTCCATTTCACAGGGCAAGCAGGACACTGACTGTAAAGGCTCAACTGGAGCCCAACCATCGCTTGCCTCAGGAAATGTAAACAGGCTAGATGTAAATGCCTAACCTGGAGTCCATCTGTCTCCTCCAG